ATATCGTATCATATCGAGGTTAAGTCAAATCCCCATCCACCCCCATTCGATGATTTGATTCTATAAAATTGAATTTGAAAAGATTTTATTTAGAAATACTTTCTATCGTGAATAACACACATTAATCTAACTATTAATATATTTTATATATAAACGTGAGAAAAATAATAGTTTATATCCGTACAAGTTTTACGTTACTATTTAATATCTTACAATGTTCGTTTAAAGTGTCTTTCTAATATAAACGAAAGAATATAAATGGGGAAAAGAAACACTTAAAGTGTTCTCTTCTACAAGTGAAATATATTCCGGTTGAGATAAGTTAAATTGAATCGTATTTTCGCGAGACACCATGTGCATCCCATCCATATGAACGTAAAATAATAATAGTAGTAGTAATAGTAGTAGGTAGGTAGGTAGATAGATAATACGAGTACGTAGCGTTGATGAGTGAGCGGTAAAGTCGATCGTTTGTGTGATGCCTGTTGCTTATTCATTGCAGCATTACCTTTCGTGTACCATATTTTATGTTGCACAGACAAGTTTTCTCTCTTTCTCTTTCTCTTTCTTTTTATTTTCAGCTACCTGTCTGTACTTCTTCTTCTCGAGGAGAATTACAAGGATTTGGTCATAAGTTAACGGCAAGATAAGGGCTAACTCGAGAAGGGTGCAGAAATAAAGAGAAAGAGAGAATGAGAGAGAGAGAACTTTAACATAAAGTTGGAAGGAGGGGGGGGGGGGGGGAAATGCAGGCTGCGAAACGATGTTGCTATGTGCACCTGTCCACTGTGATTCCGACCTCCCTCGGCACGTCTTAGTTGGCTCCCTTAAAAGGTTCGCGTGGGTGAGTCGTTTCCTCGCATAGTTACGCACGTGATTCCTTCCAAGTAAAAGGACGAGAAGAGAGAGAGAGAAAGAGAGGGAGAGGGAGAGGGAGAGAGAGAGAGCTCAAAGGAATTCCAGGGGACTGGGCAACTGGATCTTTCCACGAAGGGAAGATGCATATGCATGGACGATGCAAAGGAACGTGAGAAATATTCGTGCCACGTACTACTTCGTGAACTCAACGTTAAATCCTATATATATATATGTTACCGTCAAAGCTGGAAATCAGTCATTGCTAGTAATTCCTCGGCATTATTATGAATGTAAAGAGCCTTCAGACGAAGTTGGAAATTGAAAAATTCTTCCACTTTTTCTTAGGCATCGAACATAATACTYTGATAATCTATAGAATATCAAATTACTATTTAAACAATGTTAAAAAGAATACATTCTCAGACACAGACATACGCAGCCATACGATCGCAAAATATCAGAGAATGCTGCAAATTGTGCATCTTTGCAATTTCTTTGAAAAGTTTAGGTAAATATTTTTTATACTTTCTGCAAATGGATTTTATTGATTTTTATATTAAATTAAAGTGCACTCTTTTGTCTACGCGTTGAATACTATATCGAGTTATAAATTTAGCATGTAAAGTTCAGGAAATGTCAGAGAATGTAATGCTGTAAATTGTGCATCTTTGCAATTTCTTTGAAAAGTTTTGGTAAATATTTTTKATACWAAAAGTGAWTAGATTTTAATGAAACTTATATTAAATTAAAGTACACTCTTTTGTCTATTTATTATTCCATACAATCAACTATTTAAAAAATCTTAATCATTCTCAAAATTTACCGTTATCTATCTATCGATAGTATTATTGCATCCAAGAGGAGAAGGAGGAAGAGGAGGAATAGGAGGAGAGAGGGAAACACAAAATTTAGAAATATTTGATTTATATTATTACATACAATTATTTGATTTATATTATAGAAAATTTCATTGAAATAAATATACCCTTGTCGCACGTACCTTGGCTGTAACGAATTTCTAAAGAAGTTTTCACTTGAAAAAAAAACAAAAAAAAGAAGAAGGAAAAAGGTGTACGATGAAAGAACACGAACCGTCGTTCGTATTGGACGACGGCTTTCGATCGCACTCTTTGAACTCGTTAGTGAACCAGTTACTCTGCTGCTGGTTACCCAGTTACGTCGTTACGCTTGTTACTCATCCAAAGAGATACCGATAGAAATCCCCATCGCGGTGATGATGTTGCAAGAACTTCTTCCTCGAGTTAATACCACTACCATTTACGCTTACCATTAGGAAAAATTACCTTTCGTTAATGTTCCTTCATTTGAAATAAACTAATTTACATATGTAAAGAATACTTTACGTTCTATTTTTTTTTTCTTCTTCTTCTTCTTTTCATAAGGTGTCAAATTATTATACATAATTAATGTGATAATAGAAAACTGTTATATATACATAATAATATTAATTAACATAATGAATATAATCTAATTTTTCCTATTCAATATAATATTAAAGAATAATATGCTATAGGAATACTAATATATATATATATATATATATATATAATTTAAATTAAAATATGTAACTCACGTTTAAATTTATTACAATATAACGTAATATACGATATATCACACGAACGGACCCTTCGCAATCCGCATATGGTGGACTATAAAAGGGTAAGGGTGAAACTGATTAAAATGCATTACGAGACTGAACGAGTTCGTAGGGCTAGGGGGGCCAATATGATGGGAGAATTTTAAGCTACTTTTACCATGTATCACCATACACACTCTAAATAATAATAATAATAAATATAGTAATAAAAAAAAAATCTAACAAAAGAAAGAAATATATTAAAGATCGTTAAACGTGTTACGATTTAAAAAAAAACAAAATATATATTCTTACGAAATATAAATTCACGTGGCATCTGTCCAGATTTGTTAATAACCAAGAATACTTCTATGTAACTATCATCGTGTTTTATATAATAAGTATTAAACGTATACACACGTATACATTTATAAATCTATACAGGGTCGTTCGTGCCATTAATCATGAACATTTAGCATCTATACAAAGGGACAATGGCGTTTGCATGAAACCAAGAACGTAAGAAGTATCGCATTGAAATCATTTTTCATGTCATCTTCTTCATTGATATTCTTCTCTCTCTCTCTCTCTCTCTCTCTGTCATTTTATTTTTTCTTATAATTTGTAAAAAGACACGCGTGTTTTTATCGAATATAATAATTGACAATGACACTGGTGGAAAAGGACCTTGAAATTTATAATAAAAAAAAAGTATAGAAGAAAAAAACAATATAAAAATTGTACATTTTCGTCTCGTTCGTATCTACGACGAGTACGAGTACGACATTCGATTTGAAATCGTTACTATTATAAAGGGAATGAAGGTAAAAGGGGGGAAGAGGGATGGGGGAGGGATGGGGAGGTCTACAAAAGAGATTAGATATTCCTATCACGATTATATTGTTACCACGTGAATTCTCTAAGGCATCGAGAATCGCGAACTTGGAAATAATCCGTACGGTGGTTTCTTCATGGGACGTGCACCAAATGTACGAAAGTACGGGAAACGAAGGATAGGAATAGGGGAGTGGGGTGGGGTGGGGGAGGGCTAAAAACGTGACTAGGGAAATAATAAGAATTCCTGGTGACTTTTTTTCCAAGATGTTCCGATACACATCGAACACGTGGTTAATACTACTACTATTACTATTACTTTTACTACTACTACTACTACGTGGTATATATTGCTAGTAGGAAATCAGGATGGCCGATCAAGTGGATCTTTATGAAGCATTGTGTTAAAATCACAATCGACTCGTAAAGATGAAACTCAGTAAAGAAAATCGTTAAAACTATCGATCGTTAAAAGCTAACATAATAAGTGTTAGGTATTCCCATAGGATTGTTATTTTACTGTTACTCTTGCTGCTGCTGCTGTTATTGGCAAGATTTTCGATGAATGGCAATTGCATTAGTTCTGGGACGTTGACTTATATTATATTCTATGGGGTATATGTTTGTTAAAACAGAATCTATGGCATATTTGCAGTTAATAAGGAATGATCGAAAGGAGGCGCCGAGTTTAATAGGGTGAAATACCATATCGATAAAGATCAATATCGATCTTGGTATCGGTTGCTATTTTCGTTGGTAGTTGGTAGTTGTGTTGTCAAGAAAAAGAGAACGAGATTTATCCGTACGATTTTCTACGGTGATAAATTTTCTAACACCCTCTCATTTCGATATACCGTAGATTTACTTTCGATAGACTTTAATTCAAGATATATATATATATATATATAACCACTTTCAATAGCATAGATAAATAAATTTTCTTCGAAGTTAAATCCCCAAGTGAGAAAGAATGATATTTTTCTTTTTAAGAGAAAAATATAAATCTATCTTATAGAGAGAATTTAATCCTCTTGTTATAAAGTATTGGGTTGGCCAATAATCTTTTGAAATTGTATTGTTCAATTATAAAATATCTATATATAAGTATTGCAATAAAATAAAATATCTTAAAGGTTTTATCTATTTAAATATAGAATACTTTGAACGTTTGTTATTTTAATACAAACTATTAAACATTTGTCGAGGATTTTTTATTGATAGTAAAATTATTCGAATAATATGTCGAAGAATAATAGAAAAGTATATCACATATACATTGATGAGATATATATATATAAATAAATAAATAAAATAACTATAACATAGTTAGAGCACGTGCTCGGGACTAATGAAAAGCTTTGTATCTAACTAACATAAGTCGACAACACACATAACAAGAGAGAAGAAATTCGAACCGTCTCGATTCGAGTTAGAAAGGCCAGCTTCTCGAGTATCACCAGTTGTAAACTAACGCTATAACGTCGACACCATAGCCATAACATATCGGATTAACAATCAGATACATCTTGCTACGCAAGTTCGTGTATTTAAAAGGTGAAGAAAAAATATCAAACGTTTGGTCAATTCGAATATAAATAAACAACACCATAGATGCATACATATACCCCTATATACATATACATATATATATATGAATTTAATTAAAGAAAATAAAGGTGATATTAATACCATGAGCAGGAATTAATTGTAAAACATCTGTTCAACAGGTGACATAGAGGATTGTTTGGTTGCACCTGTTTCTCAAGGACAATTCACTCCACTTCCGGAAGCCCTTTGTTGGGCAATCTTAGAATTAACGTCACAAAGGCAAGCAGCGACATTGGACACCCTCAGATCAGCACTCAGGAATGCATTTCCGGCAATGCAAAGACCTAACCGTGAACTCGTTTATGATGCATTAGCTAAATTAATGCAAGAAAGAAAGATTTACCATACGTCTCAGGGATATTTCGTGGTAACACCGGAAACTAGAAGATTAAGGCGCGATTCCGGAAGTTCTAGAAGATGTTCGAGAGAAGTTAACGGTACCAGAGGCCAGGGTGGTATGCTTATGAGTAACGACGAAGCTATGGCATTGGTTCATGGGGAAATGTTAACCCTTAGAGATGGTGACGTTACGCATCAGGCTGTACAAACCAATCTGGCGGATGTCATCTGTGGTGGTAAGTAAATGTAATCTCTTTTAATCTTTCTACTTTTTAAATAGAAACAATTTCATAATTATCTAACACATCAGTTTAAAAACTTTACTAAATAACGAACTAATGATATTTCAATGAACTTACCCGGGAAGCTCGCGGTAACACGGAAAAACCTTTAGACGTAATGGAGAAAGCTAAAAATATATAAAAAGAATGAAAATAAGAAACAGATAGATAGATAGATAGATAGATAGATAAAAAGAAATAAGTAAGAATTTTAACCTATAACCGAAGAGAAACGCAAGACTATCTTAAATATACGCTTTGACAGTACTCTCCCGCTATGTTTATCTTTATCTTTCTTTCGTTGCTTTCACGTTGCATCGTTAAAATACCATGCGTATAAAATCGATAGATTGTAAAAACAGTTGTTTATCGTTGATACTATTTGCTGTTTTATAAACGAGAATGATGATACCAAAAGTATTTTTAATAGCAATAAAGAAACGTAGATTATTTTCGTGAAAGATACACCCAAGTTTGAGCTAGCTAGCTAGCTGGTGTTCGTCCTCGTCCTCGTCCTCGTAGTCCTCTTTTCTTCTTATGAAAGGATCCACAGGAAACTGAGTGCTCGTAAACTCGAGGAACTCGCTCGAAACCGGTCGATCCAGGCAAAACTCGTTCGGCACGTGTTCGGGAATCATTCCGAGTGTCCAGAAGAAGCTCCCTACTTGTCTGCTAGCTGCTTACCTGTTAGCTTACCTGCTTGCTTACCTGCTAGCTTGCTAGTCTACCTGCCTAAACGTTTAAAATCTTTTTCTTTTGATCATGCTGGATGATGCGACGACAAGGAGACGAAACGTTTTATGTTGTCGTTGTCCTTGATAATTCTTCCTTGGATTCTTCTCGAAAATTCTATCTAAAATATAATTCAACACCTCTTCCCGTTTTTAAGATTTATTTTTTTATTTTATTCGATTTGTACGAAAATGATCGATCTTTCTTTTTGTTTTTTACTTCATATTCATTTGAGAATAAAACAAGGAATGTTGAATTCACAATCACTCAATTGCCAATTTAATATTACAAACATATTAATAAGTAAAAATATTAATTCAATCTTTACAAATTGTTCATTACAATTTGAACATCTTCTCATTTAAACATAATGCCAAATTATAAATGATTTCTAATACAATTCAATATGAAATAAACAAATGTATTCGATAATTAACATTCTTTAATTAATTATTCCTACGAAAAAATCTTAGAGTCTCAATCGAACACATGTTGCGAAAGTACTTTCGTGACCTAATAATATATGTATGTATGTGTGTCTAACATATGATACACGTGTGAGATACGTAACGTATAGGTGAGAGAGTATAGTTTAAATGCAAATAGGATTAATCGGAGGCAGTAAATTTGGAGGAATCTTAATAGTATTAGATAAATAGATGTTGTATATATATATATATATGTGTGTATATGTGTTAGAGAGAGTTTAAAGTAAATTCAAAGATAGAAGAACTAAATAGAAACTAATCGTGTTAGGCATCGTATTATTTTCCCCTTTTATGTGTTTTAAATAGTATATAGGAATAAAACGAAGACAGACAGACAAACAGACAGACGGGGATCGGTGAATATACCTGGCACGCGTGTACAACTCGCATGAGTTCGCGTTAAAAGAGTCAAACCAATCTTATGGCAAGTTGCCGATGCCAGGAAAGCGTTTAACACAACCGATACATTAACTATTGGTCACGACATTGCCTACCGTTACATACACTCATGGGATCACATGGAAGTCTCATATATATATATATAAAAATATCTCTCTATATATGTATATTATGTTTGCATGGTATGTGTGTATATGTATGTATGTTATGGGTATGTATAATCTTCCTACTTTTCTCTTACTCCTTTCTCGGTCGTTTCTCACGCAGGCATTTCATTCGGTCGTTGGCTATAGCCCCTGGCTATGTACCAGGATGAAAATCGGGAACAAGAGGGTGTTCCACTTTTTGAGAAGGCAAAGAACCGACCAGTCGCCTAAAGAATCGCACTTTAAATGTCCCCCCGTTGATATTTTATGTGTTGGTAATTTAAATGAGATAGAAAAGTAAAACGTAACGGATAAATAATGAAGCTTGGGTAGAATGAAGTATAGAAAAAAAGTAATACGATATTATTATAGAGAATAAAAAAAAATATATTGAATTGACAGTGTATGGTGTTTTGTATGACGTTTAAAAAATTTAACATTTGTGTAATATTAATTATTAAATAATCGCACAGTTGTTTCTCTCGTCTGAAAAATACAATTCTTAATGAAAAGTTATCACAGGGAACTTGGACATAAAAAAAAAAGAAGTAGAACTTAATTTAACTAAGTTAAGTTAATTTAATTATTAATTAAATAGTTTATATTATTTGATTAGATTTTTTCTAATGGTACGTTTGTGATTTGTAGGTAATCCAAACGACAAGGTATTGTTTGCCAGGTGTCGATCGATGCCAGGTCGTCTCGAAAGGAGACACTCGCTTAGACTATGGGGATCGGCCAGACGTTTACACCGAAGCGGAAGTTCACGGTCTTTGCCAAGGAGGCCGGAAAGAAGTGACACTTCGTCTAGTGCCGAATACGCCAGCACCGATAGCGCACCTCATAGTCCAACCAGTGAGTCGAGTCGGGGGAGGGATTGTTTTGGTGATGGGTGATTGCTTAAACGGGACAACTTGCTTCAAAATAATTATTAACGTCCATCATAAGAGCTTTCGAAAAAAAAGAAAAAAATCATTCTATATTATTTATATTTTATAATTATATGGTTCTCTTTATTTTTATTGTTGTTTTCTTTTTTTTTTTTCTTCATTTAATTAATCCAATTCGTAAGCTTCTTAGTCACCCTTAGCAGGCAAGCCCTTCCTCCAAATCCTGAAAACTCTAGCATCGTAAAAACAACTTTGGTTCCATTTGTTCTGAAGGCTTTTCGGTTATGTTTTCAGAAAAAATAGGCTTGCTCTCGCGGCTATTTCGACGTAGCACGAGGAGAAAGGGTGCACCATTAATGGGTACGTTCAGCGCTCAATATCCTCCAACCGAATGGTTTAATCCACGTGTCGTACATCTACATAGCGTAGCTACGCAAACGAGAGCTGCTAGTCCTTCGGTAAGAATTACGAATGTAAATAACTATCTAGGGGTACCGTTAAAATAAATTCTTTTTGAATTTAACGAGTAGTAGTAGTAGTAGAAAAACAAAAATAAAAAGAAGAAGAAGAAGATACAATTTGAAAGATCAATATTTTACATGTGTTTACAGATGATGGAAGGGTTGGATCAGTCGCAGACCAGTTTCCAAGTCTGGGACGATTCAAGCTCAGTAAGATCAGCAACATTACCAAGGCGGCACCGACGCCAAGCCAGCGGGGATTCGTCGAGTTTATTGGCAAATTCTACACCGAGAAGTTCTAGAAGGCATAGATCGCCATGTTCGACTATGCCAAGATCAAAATGTTCTAGCTTGAGTAGATGTACCTCTAGGGCATCTGTCCTTCCGCCTAACGCCAATCAAGAACCATACCAGACTCGTAATCAAGTTCAAAATGGTAAAAATTCGGCAAATTCATCCCCAAGTAGAAGCGGTGGAAGTTCTGGCTCCGTTAGGACTACCAATAACGTAGTTAGTCCTGGAAAAACTGCTACTATTACTAGGTCCTCTAATACAAGGCAGCAATCGAGTTCTCGTAGGCCGAGTCACGATTCGACTGCTAGCGGCATTAAATCAAACAACGGTTCGCCCCAGCACAAGGTGAGACGTCCAATCTAATCTCTATTTAAATATATATATATATGTATGTATGTATGTATGTACTTGCTATTATCTGAGATCGAAAGCGTGTGTCTGCCCCATCCCCCCCCCCCATTTAACTACTTATAGTATACATGCTAAAGTCATTCCCCTGTCGCTTTGTTTTTTAAACCTTCGAGCTATTCGAGTGCGTGGACGAACAGATACATATATTATACACAGATACGTTATTATATACGCTTTGAGATCTGGTTTTAACGATGGTCATTCGTTGATCTAACGCAAATCTATATATTTTACTTTATATATATATATATATATTGTGAATAGTATAAGTGTCTGTACACGTGTGTGCACTCGGTTGCTCCGCACCGATCCTCGCTACTTTCTAACGCTTCAAATGAGAAATCTATTTCCTCGTAGGTACTGCAAAAGACGTCTTCCGGTCATTCGTCTCACTCGAGTGGGAAATCGATTTCTAGCGGTAAACTTTCGTCTTCCCCGTTGAAGACGAACACGCTGCCGGCTAAATCGTCACCGTTGAAGGTCGTACAGCAGGGATCGTTAACACCATTACAAGAAGCCCAAAATTCTATAACACTTCAAGTATCGACGAATCTAAGCCCGGTCAATGGTTCGTCTCAGGAACAACGTGCTATACAAAATAGCGTAACTTTGGCATCTAATGCAACTAGTACGACGACTATTTCTGGATCACCGGGAACTAAGATTTATGTACATCAAAATAATTCACCAATGAGATCGGTCATTACTTTTGAGAATGGTACGGTTAAGACTAAAGTTACGGAAAAGGATAACACGGATTGTAAGGAAAAACAAGAACGCGAACTTGTCGGTGAAAAAGTTTACAAATCACGATTGGACGAAGATAAATTATTATTTAAAAGTAAACACAATGACGAGGATAAAATGAATAAATCTAGTAAAATCGAACGGCCTTCTTCGCTTTATTCGGGAAAGGATACAAAACCTGGATTATTATTATCGGAATCCGATAAAGAAAACAAGCCTAAAGTCGAAGAGGAAACGCCGAGTAAATTGAAATTGACCAATCGTTTGAACAACAGTCAAGTTCATCTTATCGATGGATCTAACGGTAACATAGATAAAAATTCATTATCCCATGAACACCCTACTGGTAATTTATCCAGTACGAAAAATACCAACGATGCCATGAACAATTCTCGAAAATTAAGTCTCTCGTTATCGAAGGATGCTTTGAGTTATCGAAATTTACTCCGTCCAGGATCGAAAAATAATATCTCATCTAATCCGCCATCACCTACGAAATCATTCGACGGTTTCGGGGGTTCCTTCAACAACGTTTATATTGAAAATCTCGAATCAGCTAAACAACAAAGAGCACCACAGGGCTCCGAGCCTAATTTAGAAAAGACTGTAAGCCGTGGCGATCTTTATTCTTATCCGAGCTTGAGCGACATGCAAGTTCAATTTACCAGTTTGGCAGCTCAGAAAATACTTAAGGGTTGTCCGATAAATAGCGTTGATACATTGGTCGAGGTTAACATGGCCGCTGCAGAAAAACCAAACAATTGTGACGTTACCGTTCATACGGATTTTGGCCTAGTTTGAACAATCGAATAATTATTATCGAATTAACGTTAAACTGTGTACGATTTATAACTATGAAACTCATCATTATCATTGTCATTATCATTATCATCATCATCATCATCATTATTATCATCATTATTCATATCATCGACGTATTTCGATTAATTTCTTTACGAACACAGCGTAACGTTGTAACATGAACGGGTATGTAAATGAAAACGATCAAGTCCCAAGTGAAACTACCCTTTTATCTCGGTTCTAACGTCCTGTAATATATCTAATAGGTAATAACCGCGTTCGATACACACAAATCACGTGAAACGTCACTGCCGTTGTCCGAATAGAGAAAAAAAAAAAAAGAAAAGAAGAAAAAAAGAAAGAAAAAAATATGAGATAAAAAGGATCTAAATCTAGAGATAAATATATGACGGTAGTAAATAAGTGATACTGCGATATACGTATATATGTAACATATATATATATATATATAACGTGCCTACGTTTTGTTCCGAGAAAAAACATTTTTCTAAAGTAAAAAAAAGAATAGAAAAAATAAGTCAACATATTATACATATTCTAAACATGTTATATTCCAAAAAAAAAAAAACATTCAGTAATTCGTTGCAAGGTATAAGTAATTATTGCATTGCAAAACCGATATATATGCACAAGTATATTAAATATGAAGAATTATGTTTCCCAAGTGAAAAAAAAAAAAGAGAAAAAAAAATGGAAAAAAGAAAAAAAATATTCTAGATAATAGTAAGCCGCAATAGTCGCAGTTTTGCGTCGCTTTACTAAGCTTTAAAGCGATTTGTCAAAGCAATTATTCAAATCTAATATCATCGCACTTCTATACTAACAAACATACGCTGCTAATCACACGTATACACAAACACACACACACACACACACGCGCGCACAAAAAATGGGAGACGAATAATTTTCCATCGATAATATCACGTATACTCGTTCGGTAAATTCTCTGATGGTAATAATTTGTATCAACGGGTAAATCGAATAACAGATCGTATGGTAAAATAGAAAGAAAAAAAATAAATTAATTAATTTACCTATTCTCGATAAAAATGTTTTCTCTCGGTACAAACGGTATCACTATGTTTGTAATTAGTGCAATCGTAAATCTAACAAGTAATAAGTGCCAAAATCCATGTAGTTACATACTTTCATCCATAAAAAAAAAAAGAGAAAAAAAGAAAAAAAAAAAAAA